TTATATTACATAATAGAACACACACACACACACACACAAAATCACACTTGCATGGTTTCTAAACAGAGGAACTTTTAATAAGCGAGGCGCTCAGACATTACATTCTCATTCTGCCTTGCATTTTGTCATCCATCTTCTGGGAACGAGGCTTAGAGATCGTGGTGCAACTCACTTAGAACAACAGACAATTGTCACAGCCTGTTAATTCCATCTGCCTCTGACGGGAGGGGAAAATGGTTCCACAGTGAAGTCAGAGGGGCTCAGACACAGACAGGGATTTTCCTGAGGGTCCCACAGTGAGAGCTGATGTATAATTAGAAGTATGTAGGGAAGAAGACAAAGAGCGCCAGGCAGCCACTGGGTGATGAGGGCTTCTGCCTGCCAATCACAGTTTCTGATATTTGAGCCTTCTCTTTAGTGTTAAAGAAACTGTCGCTGGGAGTTGCAGTGTGTGGAGATGAGTAGGAGAGGAGTGGAGTGGAAGGGGACCTCTGCTCCTGTCACGGTGACATGTTGTGTCTACATGTGGGCCAGGGCCTCTAACTGAGGCGCCCACCAATTATCAAGTGGTTTGGAAACCAGAAAGGTCACTGATAAACATCCCTTGGTTTCTTCAGCTTAGATTTCTTTGTCTTATTTTTTAATTGAAACTTTATTTTAAAACTAAAACAGTATGCACCCAAATTAATAAGTCTGTAGACTTCTACACAGTTAGAACAGCCATTATGAAGCTGTGGAGAGTTACATTAGATTTCGTATTAGTTTTATGACTAAAATTCTTGGTTTTACCTTGTGGAATGTGTATAATTTCAGATCACTTAAACATCACACTTACTGGGCCATTCTTAGGAAGACCTTTGTTGGGAGCTGGAATTTCCACCATCCAATTTGGGGCATATATCATCTTGGGTAAGCAGTGTAACCTTTTAGGTTGTCCTTACTGATGAGCCGAGAGGTCAGTCTCTTGCTATTTTCCATTGTGTATCCTGAGGAATAAATAGTGGGTAAAAATACTGTGTCAATCAAATAACCATGGCTAATGCCTAGTTGACATTCGTTTCTTTGTTACAGGACTCCTCAGAGTCTTTAATATTCTAATCTACACTAGGGACACCAAAAGAGGCTAGGATTCGTTGTTTCCTGAAGAAAAAAATCATAACACGTTTTGTCACACAGGCCATCTCCTTTCCTTCATTGCCTATATGAGTAAAAGCCCTTCTCTCCCAATGCCCATCCTCTACCCCCTGAGCCAAAGACCATCCTTTCTCTCTCAGTCCTTGTCCCCTATCTTCTGAGAGGCAGAGACCCACCATCCTTTCTCTAGTCTTCTTTCCCCTCTTATCCTCTGAGTGACAGACCATCCCCTCTCATCCCCTGTCCCCTACCCTTTAAGTTTTAGCAGCCTGTTTTGTGACTTGATGATTTTGAATACAGCTGGGAAATGATCGTTATGTAATACCCAAATTCTAAATAATTTTACATAATTAGTAGTTGTTTTAAATGGTAGTAGCTCCTGTTTCTCACGTTCCCAACTTGGAGATGTTCCAGAGCCTTCCTGCAAGCACTGAAAAGTTCCCTTCTGCTCAGCCTTTTGTTGACATATGAATTTGATGTCAATTATAAAAGCTTGAGTGAATTCAATACTTTCATATATTGCAAGTAAAAGTTGTGTGCATCTGAAACTAATTACTTAGGCTCTCGAGACTGCTCTTTAATTACTTGACCCGGGGAATGCTTATGTGTTTTAAACATTAGCTTTAATATTCTCGATCAAATGTTTTAGACTGTCTTAAGAGCACATCGGATTGATTTTATGGCCAAACTAATGGTTGAAAACCTCTTTTGAAAGTGTTCCAGAAAAATAAAACAGACTTCATGCAGGTTGACTCAAGGGAAGGGATATGTATAAGGACAATGCTAAAGTTCATTATCAACTACCATCTTGGTGGGATACAAAGAGTTCTCTATGGGTAGTTTCTAGGACAAGAAACTATGAGTTATCAATTTCCCTTAGCATTCAAGATTCTTCCTCAGGGAGTACCATTGTTGGTACTAAAAACCCAGTAGCAAACAGACTATTACAGTAACCCACACAGCGATGACTAGCCATCTATTCATTTTAATTTCTTGGGTAATTGGTTTCATCTATTAGCAGTCAGCCACATATTTAAGCCACAAATGACTTTTCTCCATTAAAAAAAAAGTCTTTCCTCTTGGGTGTGATGGTCAACTAAGCCAATAAGCCTGGTGGATTTTGCTAGTTTCTTATATCAGTGACTTCAGACACTCCTGGGATTGCTAAATAAGATCCACACAGTGACTCCTACCATGTTTTCTTCCCCCTTAACAAAAATGTCCCAGAGTGCTGTGCATTTCACCATTAGTTTTCCTTCATTATAAAGCACAGGTTTATAAAATTTACTTAGTGGAATTCACGATATCCTCAGCACACTGCAGACAGTAGTTTAATATGTCATTTTCGAAGGGCTGGAGGAACTGAATTGCTTTTACAGTCTGCAGTAAAAAGCAGTCCTTCTTAAGAGACAGTACAGTGATTTTTATGTGTTTTTTGCATCTCAAACACAGATTTACTTGGACTGCAAAATATTTACACTTTTCACAACCAACAAGTTGTTGACTTTACAGAGGGAATGTAAAGAGACTCCCTGCTTCATTCACTGTCACAACTCCCAAATGCCTGCTTTTTCTTCTGCTATCACCCCTGTCATCCAATAACCAAACCTGGGAAAAACAAGCCAGTGTGTTCCATTTGAAGCTGAAGCTACAATGTTATTATGAGGAGAGTGACGTAATTTATATTATTCTTGAAAGGATGACATAAATCTGTTCAGAATAGACAATAATCATCATTTGTAGTTTCCCGTTGCTGGAATTCTATGTCATTCATCGCGACGTGTGTGATTTATGCAAAGCTCACTTCCTGGGCATCACTGATCTCCAAAGGCCTCCTCTCCCATTGTGAAACATAGTCAAAGGGAGGAATAGAGGAGAGATTTATTACTTATAAGATTAGAGCAAGAGAAGACAATAATCATCTTTGAAGATTCTTTCCATTTAATGAAACTAGCTGGCTTACCAGAATTTTTCAGTGTTTAGAAATTTTATTATGAAAGAGTTGAAACTCTGAAGATAATACTGTTATATCTACATGAATGAAGAGTAAACAGATTTTGTGAGCGGTCCTCCAACCCCTCTCTCCCCCTCCAACTCCTCCCTCCCTTCCTCTCTTTCTTATTTTTGGATTTTGAGACAGGGTCTTAACTGTGTAATACAGGATGGCCTGGAACTCTTTAGGTAGACAAGGGTGGACTCAAACTCACAGCTATCCTCCAGCCTCTGTTTTCTTTTTTTTTTTTTTTTTTTAAATCCACTTATATTTTTATTATAAACAAAACTGGCTTACAAGTTTAACAAACTGGCTGATAACTCAGCAGGCGTCTAGACATGGTAGCCAGTCAGCCACTTCCCGAGCTTGACACCCCGCTGCCTATCCACACGCACAAGGGCTGCTAGGGCTAACTTTAGGAATTTTAAACATCTCCCATGTAGGGATGTTGAGGGTGAGTCCTTCGCTCTGCCTAGAAGCAATGGAAGAAATCGCAGGGTCCCCACCACAAGGCTCTGCACTTGGCGCTCTGAAGTGGGGGTCAGGACAGTTAGTTTCCTAGGTTAACTGGGAATTCTTGAACAGGGACCCCTGGATCGTCAGGTTCACCCGTGCCCCTGTCAGGTCAGGGAGAGCGTCTGCAGGCTGAAGAGGAGGTACGCACAGGCCTGGGAGACTGGCCTGTGTCTTCCTGGCTGAGGCCACAATGCTCAGAGCTAATCCAGGCTGACCCTGAATTCCAAAACCATTTGGCAGCCTCAAAAACGACAAACTGATGAGAACTTTCTGTTAAACTCTGTATATTATTACTTTTTACAATAGAAAATTAAATGTCAAGACCTTGGCCTGATATACATCACTTTTCTCTCCGCTTACAAAGCTTGTGTTGAAGAACCGAGGTTCCCTCCGTTGATGTTAGTAACTCAACAAACATAAAATGAGGATGTGCTGCAGCCGAAGGCTGTCTACACTTGTAAAGTCCCCAAATTTCATTAAAAAAAAAAAAAGAAAGAAAGAAAGCCAACAGCCCAGACGTGAAGAGCACCAGAGGGGCACGCCGCCACAGGACCAGTCTTCTGACCGTGGTCGTCTGCTTGTCGCCAGAGACCTGCATCTCCACTCTTCTTAATGCACTTGCTTACGCTTTTTCTTTTCTCTTTTTTAAAAATGACCAATGATGTTAATAAATAAAGTATTTATATATACATAAAGCCGGGAGGTGGTTCAGAGTGTGAGACGGCAGCCAGGCAGCACGCTGGGCTGGACTTCTGTAGAAAATGGATGAACTTACAAAAGTTTTTGTTTTGTTTTTGCTTTTGTTTTTTTTAATTTTTGTTTTTTGTTTTTATTCCCTTAAGTTGAGGTAAAGTTTCGGTGTCCCGAAACCTGCACGCTGCACACACAGCCATAGGGTCAGAGAACTCAGCACCCCTCTTCCTCCACGCCCAACCCAGAGGTGGGAGGCTCTGGCCTGCAGCTATGAGGACCCTCTGCTGGGGCCCAGCCTGGTTTCCGTGGGCTGACACATCTGTCCTCAGCCCCTGCAGACAGAAGTAACCTGCTGGTTAGTGTTCTAACAGCTCTCAAACACAGAACCCATTCCAGAGCAATTGAAAAGCTTCCTTCAAGTTACTAAGGGCAAGGCTGGGCCCCAAGAGGTACTGGGCAGATCCAGCCACGCCTCCCGCCGCTGTGTCTATGGTTATCAGGTCAGCATCCCAGGCCGCGGTCTCCAAACAACTAAACTGAGCTGCAAAGGCATTTCCTGCAGAGTTTGGCCCTCTCTTGGGGTCTGGTGCACGTGCCAGGCTCTCCGCCCTACCGGAGCACAGCTGGAAGAGAGTCATAACACTGAAGTAAAAGAAAACCTGCACACCATGGAACGAAAGTATATTAACCATAGGAGGGGACACTGCAGTCGGCGTGTGCCACGTCCGTTTGTCCAGCTGTTACAGTCCAATTTCACTCTGAGTCACTGCTGTCGGAGCTGGACCCACTGGAGCTGCTGCTTGCAGACTCAGAGGAGCTGCTACTGCTGAGCCTTGATGGGCCTCCCGAGGGCGCTGAGCTGGACTTCTCTTTCTTCGTGGGTTTCTTGCTGTTCAGTTGCCCGCTGACATCCTGCAGCCGCTTCTCCAGCTCCTTTTTCTTCTCCTGAGCTAGCTCCTCTTTAGATTTGGCTGCCTGCTTCTTCCCGCTTGTTGACAATGGTTTCCTCTGCTTTTTCTGTAAACAAGACTTGACATATCTCTCCAGTTCCCGTAGCGTGGTTGGCTTCAGAGTCTCAAAGTCAATTTCAATCTCATCTGGGTTTGAGTCCCTGAGCGAGGGCTCCCGGGACTGGATGATGTGCACCACACGGCCTAGCTTCTCGCCAGGCAGTCGGTTGATGTCCAGACTGAGTTGACGCTTTTCATCATAGCTCATGGGCAGGCCTTCCTCCTCCTCTTCTGAGTCATAGGACGCAGACGCCTGCTTGCCACCCTTCTTTAGCTGTCTGCTGGCTGTGGTTGTGCTATTGGCCTTCTTGGTGGGAGCCTTCTTCTGCTGGGCCTGCTTGGCTGGTGGGGTGGCCTTGGCCTTCTTCTCCTCCTCAGACTTGGCCTTGTGCTTCTCCTTCTCTTTGTCCTTGTCCTTGTCTTTCTTCTTCTTCTCCTTTTCCTTCTTCTCCTTCTTCTTCTTTGGTTTGTTCACTGGGGCCTGAGACAAGGCGGCCAGCTGTTCATGCACGGCCTTCAGCTGCTCCTGCAGCTCGGCCAGCCGAGTGGCTCGCTCCTCCTCTGAGTCTGAGCTGCCAGAGTCTGAAGAGCTCTCCTCACTACTACGACTGCTCTCAGCACCTTTGCTCACTATAGGGGCTGTGGGCGCAGGCAGCGCAGGTGCCTCCATAGGCTCATCAGGCATCTTGGCAAACCTCATCTCAAACACATCCTGTAGCTTTCTGGCCATGGCCACCACTTCATGGTCTGGAGGGTTGTACTTATAACAATTCGAGAACATTAACCGGATATCAGCTGCGAAGCCCTGTGCATCTGGGTACTCACGGCTGTCCATTTTCCTTTTGACTGTGCTGAGGTCCATGGGGTGCTTGATGATGTGATGGTAGTCATGCAGCTCCAGTGCCTCAGCGTCCACTGGCTTGTAGAAGGGCCATGCATAGGCCGCATGCTTCTTGGACAGCATCTCCCGGAGGATGCTGTCACAGTGCCGCAGGTGCTCTGACAGCTTCCCCTTTTTACCAGCATGCTGTGGGACCTCACCGTCTCTGTTTTCTGATATTAAGACATGCCTACCCTTTCTCAGATACCACATTGTAAAAGATGTATTATGTCAAAGTTACACTTAAACACCCCTGGCCATTCATACATCATTTCCTTTATATGAATACAATTTTCAAAGTAAGCTTCCCAGGCATTGCTGCACATGTACATGACTTTAGTACATGTGTCTTGAGAAACATCCTAGGATCCCACCCTTATCATTTATAATCCATCTACTTACAAACTACTTAATGATTTTCATTGTATCCATAGATAATTGAAGCCATTGCCATCTTTAATTCTATAGCTTCTTAATTACCTTAGAAGGAAATTCTGGGCCCTTTATCTGTGCCCCTTCCATATTCCTTCATTATCCTAATCCTGGTCCTAAGCTTCTGCCAATCTATTTTCTGTTCCCATGTATGTACCTGGAAATTCCATACTCACAAAATGATGGATGTGTGTGCTTTGTGCCTGGATTCTCTCACTCAACACAGTATTTTCAGGCTTTGTTTATAACCCTCGTCATCATGTGCCTATGCCACAATCTGTCAGCTGATGATGTGCAGTTTATTTCTGCCTTTTGGCTCTTGTGAATGATGTCACTATCATCATTTACATCCATGTTGTTGTTTCTTTTGAGTTGTACTAATGATCAAGTGTTGGTTTTTAATAAAGAGTCCAATTCTTTGTAACTGCCACACGGGACTTTGAGGTACTGACAAGTCTAATGTGTTTCTCTTATCTCTTGGTATCTGTTCTCTTCATCTTTGGTCCTCGGTGATATCTTCACATTTCTGTGTGCATGTTGGGTGTCTTTCTTACATAGAGACAACCACACAGTCGGCTTCTTTAGTACCTGCACGTTTCCCACAAACATCTCCCTCTGCAAACATATTTCACTCAAGACAGAAAGCATCTTCCTGCCCCACATCTCTCCAAATCATGGTCTCTGTCGATATTTTGGCCTGCATGATGATCATAATTTGCTTTACTATCCCTCTCTCTGGACATTAGTGATGCCGAGCCCAGACCCATAGGCTTATTGATTACCCCCTTCCTCTATGGAATTTCATAGTTATCCAATGCAGCTTCCTGTTAGACTATATAGTATTTTTGTATCGATTTGTAATATTCTTTATTGATTATTTTATGTCTGTTAAAAGAGATTGTGAATATCTTCTCCCAGCCTTATCCATTTCTCTCAAATTTTTAATTGCTGTTTTATGCAATGTGTGTATGTATACATGGAGTGTGTGGATTTGGGGGGGTTGCATGCCATGGTATGTGGAGGTCAGAGGATCACTGTGGAGTTTTTCTCTTCTCCTACCTTTTTGTGGAATCCTGAATTAAACTGAGATCACCAGGCTTGTGCAGCAAGCATTTTTCCTGCTGAGTCATCTCACTGGTCCTCATTTCCCTCAATTATTTTTTCTTGAGATAGATTCTCACTGGACAGCCCAGGTTGGCCTGAGTCTCCCAAGTGCTAAGACTACAAGTATTTGCCACCATGCCTAACCTCCATTTTCCTAAAGTAAAGGGAAAAATACATCTTTTCTGAATAAGGTGCAATATATCTATAATCCTCAAACTCTGGAGGCAGGAGGATAATGATTATAAGACCAGCCTAGGTTACATAGTGAAGCTCTGTCTGGATTAAATAATAAACGAGTAAATAGACTGATTTTAATTTTGCACACAAATTTGTCTTACATTCTACTTTTAAAATGCCTTCTGTGGGTTGAAGAGATAGCTTCAATGGTAAAGTGCTTGCTATGGAAGAATGAGAACCTCAGTTTGATCCTTAAAGTCCAAGTAAACACCTGGGTGTAGTGACAGGTGCTTATAATCCCAGTGCTGGGAAGGTACAGGTAGGATAATTTGTGAATCCTGGGTTGTAGCAAGAGACTCTAAAACACACCAAGGGTGAATTGTTCATAAACTGTGATGAGGATGCCATGGTCCTCCATGTGCACAGATACACACATATCTGTACACATGTGCCCACACATAAACACGCTCCCACCCTGTACGTTCATACGGTTCTTTCCAATGGCAATGCTACTCTTTGTAGTTTTGTTTCTCTGAAGAGCTTAGTTTGGGGATTTTTCATACTAAACCTTTAGTTCATTTGGAATTCTGTGTGTGTGTTTTCATGGAGTTAATTAAAAATCTAATTTCACCTCTTAAAAATTAATTATCTATTTAGGCACCTAATTGTCCTAGAATTGTAAACTAAATATACTACTTTCCTCTCATCTTGAAATGACACTTTTGTTATGCATTTATACATACATATGTGCATTGGGGAGGGGGTAGAGAGAGGAGAGTACTTAGGACTTGACTCCATCCTTTGTCCAACATAGAGTCAATGCTACATTATTATTGAACTTTATAGCTAATCTTGTATCTGAGAAGATAAACTCATTTTCCTTTCCTCCTCTTTTACTTTCATCTTCAAAATTATCTTATCTGTTTATAACATTTTGCTATTCCATATATGTGTTAGACTGCATCAAAATTGTTACTATATATTTATTAAGTTCCATGAAAAAGTCTTCAGTCTTTTTATGCAGTAGCATAAAATTTATACCTGTAGTTTTTACTGAGAAAAGTACACAATACAAAGTAGAGTTTGTAATTTACAAATGAGTTCACAGCTAAATGGAAACAAGAAAACAATAAACAAACTCTAGGATCTTTACAATCATAACTGGACTTTTCACATAGCATCATGTTTACTATTCTTTTAAAACCTTTTTACAGAGCCTAGAAATCATCTTTAGAGTAATATTAAGAAGGGAAAAGTGACAAGGAAAGAAATATGGAATATTAGAAAGAAAGTGGTCACAGAAGAAACAAAGTCAAGTCTATTAGCAATCATAATATTTATGAATGAAGCAAATTCATCAGTTTAAAGTTGGAGATTCTGGGCTTTGGATCTACCTATTGCTTACAAATGGTATATTCTACATAGTAACAAAAAATTGAAACTGAGGAAATGATTTAAAAATCATATTGGTTCAACACTAACTGCCTGACATGAATCCTATGAGGGTTAATTTTAGCTGTCAACCTGACTGGATCTGGCATCTTCTCAGAGTTAAGCTGATGAGCGCAGCTGTGAGAGACTCTACTGATGGGGTGATGGGAATTACAAATGTGGGTGGTGGCAGCCAAGTAAAGGACATTCAAAAGAAAACTTTGTTTTTTGCCTCATTGCCTTCTATCACAGACTTTCTGTTGCTGCTTAAAGACACCAAGACCAGAATCAACTAGGGAAGGAAGGGGCTTATTCCAGCTTATACCTCTTAGGTCACAGTCACTAGTGAAGGAAGTCAAGGCAGGGACCAAGCAGGTCATTAACCTGGAGACAGGAACTTATGCAGAGATCATGGACAAATGTTGCTTACTGACTTGCTCCCTATCTATGGCTTGCTCAACCTGCTACATAGTGATGGTACCACCCACAGTAGACAGGGCCTTCCACATTAATTACTAACCAAGACAATACCCAAAGGCTTGTCTGCAGACCAATCCTATGAAGGCATTTTCTCGACTAAGAGTCCCTCCTCCCAGATATGTCTAGATTTGGGTCAAGCTGGCAAAACCAACCAGTACACCTTCACATTTTGATCGTGAGTTCTTGCACCCTCTTTGCATGTTCATCTGCCCTGATGCTGCCGCCACTGCTGTTGCAGTCCTCTGCTGGTATCAGAACCCATGTTAGGCTTACAACGTGGACCAAAGACCAGTGGCTCTCCAGGAACCCTCCAGGTCTCTGGCACCGAGATGGACCTGCTGAGGAATGCAGCCTCTTGTACTGAGCAGTTTCCCTAAGTCAGCCTTTCCAGTGGGAAGACAGCCATTGTTGGACTACCAAGATTCTATCTGCTAAGCCAATCCAAGAAACCCCCTTTAAAATGTATTCATTCTATCACTTCTGTTCCTACTGAGAACCCTGACTAATACATGTATGTATCTCTGGTATCTCTCACTGAGGAGAATGAAACTGAGCAAGAAGAGCTCCAGCTGCAGTGTTTGTAATCTGTGTATTCCCACTTGGACTGCTCCTAGCAAGTGACATCATGTGGCCGTGATCTTTTTAGATCCAGTAGTCTCTTAACAGATTCAGTATGACAGCACACAACTGTACTCTCAGTGTTCAAGAGGCAGAGGCAGGGGTATCTCAGGTTAAGTTGAGACTGGGCTATCCCCAAAGTGGAAATAACTAAAAAACAAACAAAATCACATTTTCACATACCACCTTGAAGGCATGGAATGCACAGGCTTGTGTACTGATTGTGTTTTCAAAGAAAAATTTAACTGAATGAAGCTGCAATGCATAAAGTACATTTCAAAGACTAACTATTGGTAAAGGGAATATTTACCAGGCTTAAGTATAGCAATTTGCAATCTCAACACAGTATCAGAATTTACAAAGTTGTAGAAGAGATGACTTAGTGGCTAACGGTGCCTGAGGCCAAGCCTGACAAGCCCCCCCTCCATTCTCATGACCCACGTAGTAAAGAGGGAAGTTGACTTCAGAAAGCTGTCCTCTGATGTCCTCTGATGTCCATATGAACACTATGGCCGGTGCCTGTCTGTACCTCTGTGTAAGTAAGTAAGTAAGTAAATGAACTTGAAATCTTACACATGAAATTGGATGGCTACAAGGGAAGACAGCAAATACATAATCATGTTGATACCTTTTCAAATTTCCTCACATTGTTGCTTAGTTCTTAGCTTGCCACAGTGTATGTACACATGCACACATGCATGTATGCACAGATGCACACGCTTTTAGTTTTCTCTTCTGGCTCCATTTCCTTCACCCTATTCCTTTCCTTGTAGGTTCATCTTCAGCAGGCACAGCCTACACACACTTTCCCCCATGGCTTGGGCTGGGAGACTAAGCTGGTTCCAATTAGACTCTGCCGAGCGGAAAGGGGCACTGCCAATCCCGAACCATGAAGCATGGGAGTCCCTGAGACACGGTAGTGCTCGATGGGACTCCAGACCACACCAGGGACAGAAAGGACTGCAGCTTCT